GGGGGTCACTTTGTTTGACTTACTGTTGACTATCGATTAGGGTTCTGACTCAGTCAAGTTCGGTGCTAATTTACAGACAATGAGCTCCAAGTAACAGATGACCCCCCAGCGATGGCTGCACGCTGAGGGGGAGGGTCCCTGGCTGGTTCGCTGACCACGTGCGACCCCCCGCCTCCTGTCCTCTGTTCAGCCCTTGTCACGATGCTGCTCCCTCGTGAGTGAGCGAAAGGACTCTGAGGCCCAGACTCACTCTCTGTTTGGTAGACTCACAGTCTTGGGGTTGTTTTTTTTTTAATGTTTTTTATTTATTTCTGAGAGAAAGACAGCATGAGCAGGGGAGGGGCAGAGAGAGAGGGAGACAGAATGTGAAGCAGGCTCCAGGCTCCGAGCTGTCAGCACAGAGCCCGACACGGGGCTCGAACCCACGAACCGTGAGATCATGACCTGAGCTGAAGTCGGACACTTAACCAACTGAGCCCCCCGGGCGCCCCTAGACTCACAGTTTTAACTGGTTTCTAAATTACATGTCGAGGGGCTCAGTCAGCTGAGCGTCCGACTTCGGCTCAGGTCAGGATCCGCAGTCCACGGGTTCGAGCCCCGCGTCGGGCTCTGTGCTGACCGCTCAGAGCCCAGTTCGGATTCTGTGTCTCCCTCTTTCTGACCACCCCCTGCTCATGCTCTGTCTCCCTCTCTTTCAAGAATAAATAAACATGTGTCGACCCTCTCAAACTTCCCCCGGTGGGAAGGGCTCGCATTTGGAACTTCTGCACAGCCCTGGGGAGTGTCCGGGGCCCTCACTTCTGTGCGGGTGCCCCGGGCATTCCTGGGCCACTAAGAGCAGGTCTGGAGAAGAGGGTACGGCTGCGGCGGCCTGACCGCTACCTCTGATGGCTAACCGGTGCGTCACATGGACGCTTCAAACCAGTGACGGTGACTAGCTTCCACCCCACGGGCCGGCGCTGCCCGCTCAGGCCAGCTCCACGGCCGGCCCCTCCGGAAAGGGTCTGGAGGCCGGATCGGAGCTCAGCGCATCCCGCTTGACGAGCGAGGCCCGACCGGGGGGCGGGGGCGGGGCGGCGGGCGCGAGGCGGGCGTCTGCCACCCCTGCTTTAATCTCCCCGCAAACAGCCGCCCGGGGCTCCGGAGCCGGAGGACTCGCGAACCGTCACGACCGGAGCTCCCCAGTAACCGCCAGGGTGCGACCGCGTGAGGCGCGTCTGGTCTGCGGCGATGCGGCCGACAGCGCCGTCCCCCCCAAACGCAGTCATAAACTCGACCCTCGGGCCTATGGGGCGTCCCTTCTTTGTCCACCTGACTGTCCCCGGCCCCTCTGGGCACTGCTGGAAAACCAACGGAATCTGTCATCCACACTGTCTAACCCCGCGACTGGGCTTCAGGCAGGTCCCACTGTGAGCTCCGCGTCTGGCGGCCCCAAGCTCCCCACCCCTTCCTCCCACGGAAGCTGCCACTTGGCCGGCGGATGGGGGCCGGCGTCAGGGGAAAGAGCGCCCCGCGTCTGCTTACGCAAAGGAGCAGACCATCGGCTGGGCTAAAACCACTGGCCCGGCCCCCCCCCCCCCCCCGCCAGACCCAGGCTCCCCCGTGGGGCCCGCGGGCCGGGCCGCCTCCGCCAGGCTGATCCCCCGTCAGGGACACTTACATTTCTGCTCTTCCTCGGGGACGATGCGGTAAACTTTGTACGGCTCTGAAATGTCCAGCTGGGACCGGTCTGTCACTTCCTCAAAATCGGGGCTCTTGTTCAAGGCACAGCGTAGCCTTGTCTTCCAAGTGGCTGGCTCGGCCTTGTCTCCTTCCTTAAATTTCCCTTTAAACACTGCCCAGGCCTGAAGGAACAGAAAGAAGCCCGTGAAATGCGAGGCCGCCCTGACCCCCCTCCCCCGAGCGCAGATATCCACGGCCGTGGTCAAGATCAGCACATTCTCGCTGGTCCTGACAGTCATTTTTGGCCGTCACCTCTCGTTGGGGACTTTCAGGAGCACTTTCTGTGACAGATGTGAAAAGACCAGGGCCAGGAAGGGGACCTTCCCCCAGACTCACGCAGCTGAACCTGAATCCAGCCCAGGCCCCTGCCCCTGGCTAGCTTGCGCGCACGCTCTCTCTCTCTCTCTCTCTCTCTCTCTCACACACACACACACACACACACACACACGCACACACACACACACACACACACACACATCTCGGATCTGCCTCTGGGCCATTCCTTCCCTGGACCACAGGGTCAGGAGGAGCCTGAGGTCAGCTAGCACAAAGAGGAAGTCGCACATGGTTTCACTAGAATGTTCAAAACAAAGAACAATTTGCTGCTTTTTCAAATCAACCCCTAGCTAAGGCTTAGCATGAAAAGGGAACATCTGCAAGAAGGCGCAATGTGGTCATCCACTGCCTTGCTACTTTTAATAGAAATTTTGTTTTGCATTTTGGCATTTATTCTAACCTTCCCGCCCCACCCCCGGGGCCCTGCTTGAAAGGCAGCGAGATGTGTTGTGTGTCTGTCGGGTTTCCGCAGCTCCCTTTCCGACCTCTCCAGACCCGAAACTCCGAATGAGGACGAGAAATTCAAAGCTGAAGGCCTAACAGCCACAAGCAGAGGGGGGCGGAACAGAAGACAATTCAGACAGACGTGTGAACGGGCAGCTTTCACGATTTCAAAATTGGAATCCAGACACGCCAACGAGGAGGTCACTGCCGTCAGGTGAAAATAACCTTCGCTGTCAGACAAAATCGGATTCGCCTTCCAGCCGGTGAGAATATACGGTCTGGAGGGAATCCTCGTTCCCAGTCAGGAAAATGCAATTCCAAAGGGGACTTTTCCAAGCGGACCCCGCCTGGGGCTACACCCCACTGTCTTGACTGCCAACCCAATGACAGTCTACTACAGCAAGAGCTCTGAAGCTTAATGCCCACACCAGCCCCCCTGGGAAGCTCACGAAATGCAGGTTCCTGGGCCCTGCCCCTGAGCTTCTCATTCGGTAAGCGTGGGTTAGGTCTGGGAATCTGCATCTTTTCTTTCAAATGTTTATTTACTTATTTTGAGAAAGAGCGAGAGACACAGAGAGAGAATCCCAAGGAGGCTCCGAGCTGACGCGGGGCTCGAACTCACAAACCGTTGAGAATCATGACCTGGGCCGAAATCAGGAGTCAGATGCTCAACCGCCTGAGCCCCCCCAGGCGCCCTGGGGCCTGGGAACCTGCACCCCAGTGACTGTCGGGCGGCCCGGGGGCCACACTTGCAGTCCCTCCGTGACACCCCTGGCTCGCAGCCCCATTCACCGCAGTCCTGCCTCTCCGTCCCCGCACACAGGTCAGGACCTCGCAGGCCACACCAGTGTCTGCGCCTCTGTTGACGCCCAGAGCTCGGACCGTGTGCCGCCGCCGGAGGCCAACGGAGAAGGTCGCTGTGGGCGCCCAGGAGCGAAACCCCTCCCCTGACGCAAACTGCCCTCTAGAAATGTCTCCTGCAGTAAATGGCTCTCGGTCCCTTCTGATCTTTTGTCCAACGATTTACTAACTGGATCGCAGGCCGTGCATTGGTTTCTTTTTTTCAAGGAAGGCGCAGCACGCATGAATTTCAACCTTCTATTACGTTAAGTCAGAGTCTCTCCGTACTTTGTGACGGGGCCGTCCTGGGCGTGGCTGGGGGCCCGAAGCCTCTGTGGCCCCCTCCCCCCTGCTGGATGCCAGCAGCACCCCCACCCCTGCTGTGACACCCAGATATGTCTCTGGAGGCGGCCATGGGTCCCCGGGGAGGTAAGATTGCGACACACTCCTCCACCCCCACCCCCTTTGAGAACCACTGGTTAATTCACATCAAAAAATGGACCTTGGGGAACACGGGCTTAGAGACGCTCCCAGGAGCAGCTGCCTTTTAGCCAGAAATGCACAGTCTACTGCTCTACCATCCGTCCAGGGCTCACATCCCCCCCAGAACGCCAGGACGTGACAGAGCGAAGCGGGCCCTGCGGTCCGGGGTGCCCCGGGCGGGATCAGCTACCTCGCCTCCAGCCCTATTGATTTTTTTCCTCGAAGGCCTACTGAGTTTGAAGTATCTGTGCTATAGGTCAAGTTCACGTAGGCCTGTCACAGCGCTGGTCGAGGACAGAAACGACCCTCAATTAACGAGGACTTCCTCCCTTGGCTTTATGAAAAGGAGGCAAAATACTTTTTGGAAAACAAGTAAGAGTGGCGATGTGGGCCTCGGTGCACCCGGGGCCGGCACCCAACGAGCTCCGCCTTGTTCAACCCCCATCTCTGGCCCTGCCCCACGAGGCCGGCCGCAGGACCCTACCTCCCGTCAGTGAGGAATTCTCTGGTATAAACAGCCCCTTACGCTCCACTGTATCTTCGTAACTCATGGATTTTTTAAGGTTTTCTTTGAATACTTCAAACAGAACTTTCTCTACATAACCAAAAGATCCATGAAATAGGGGCGTCTGGGGGCTCAGTCGGTTAAGCATTGGACTTCGGCTCAGGTCACAATCTCACGGTTCGTGAATTCCATCCCCGCGTCGGGCTCTGCGCTGACAGCTCTGAGCCTGGAGCTGCTTTGGACTCTGTGTGTGTGTCTCTCTCTCTCTGTCCCTCCCCTGCTCACACCTGTCTCTCTCTGTCTCTTAAAAATGAATAAATGTTTAAAAATTTTTTAAAAAATAAAGAGTATCCATAAAACAGCCCCATCCAACCAGAGCCTGACTGTGGGCGCTTCCCATGGGCCTCACAGGGACGCGCCGTCGGACGGTGGGACCCAGCCAGCGTGGTGCAGGGCAGAGCCACGTGGCTTCCTCCCTCTGTCCTCGCCAGCGAGCCACCCTCCTGGGGGCCGCATCCCCTCCCACCCGGCTCCTGCTGAGATTGTGGGCTTCTGTCCGATTGCCACACCGGGCGACTGCGAAATGAACGGAAGCCCTGGGAATCTTGCACATTTTTCTTGATGCTGTTGAAACGGCCATGAAGGGCGTTGCATAAGACATATAAATCTGGGGCTTTATTTCATTACCCCCAGAGCATAAGTTGAAGCAGGGAGCTGGGTGAAGGGGAAGCCTGGGAGGTCCCCAGGAGCCGCGGCCCCCCTCCCTCCCGGAGAGGTGACGGTCACCCTGAAACCATGTCCGCGGTTCCCCACGCATCTGCTTAAATCTGCTCACTGTGGCCACGGTCAGCAACCTGCCAGGTTCTGGGGGGGCGGGGGGGATTATGCTGTCCCCCCCCAAGGCGGCCCTGGTAATGTCACACTCCAAGGCCAGTGCTGAACCGCTCCCAGTGCCCAGGACGGCCCCCCAAGGAGGAACCAGGTGGCCCCGGATGTCAACAGTGCCGAGGCTGAGGGGCTCTGGCCCGCAGCCATCTACCATCTAGAATTCCCCGACGGCCCACAGAACCTTGGGCGCTGATTAAATGTAGCCAGAGTCGTTCTGGAGCTGGGTTCATCATGATCCCCAAAGGCAAAAGCACCACCAAGAGTGATAAAGGAGCGATTACCAAGGCCAGACCCCGGCAGCATCCAGACTCCCGAGCTGGGGTCCTTGATGGGAAGAAATCTGCTGGCCCCCCCTCGAAGGTGAGTGAGTACACTTGTGTCCGCCCATGCGGGCCCTGGAAGAGGGCTGGTCCCTGGCAGCAGACCCCCGGAGAGCCCCGGGATCCCAGACTACAGAGCTAAGAGAACTGCTCAGAGGGGGAGCCTCACTGCACACCCCAGGAGCACGGATAGCGCCTCTGCGCGCGAAGCCAGCTGTCACCTGCCTGTGCTCCTCTCTGGGGCCACTGAGGATCACCAAGGATCACCACCCGTCACCTCTGTTTGGCTGGGCTGGCAGACCAGACATCCCTGGAGAAGCATCCGGGTCCCTGCCGGCCTGCGCTCCCTCCCTCACCTCACCGAGGTCCGGGGTCCGGTTCCCATCCTTCCATACCTCAGCCTGCCCCGCCCCTCCCCCAGACCCACCCACTCTCCCCTCCCTGGACCCCCGATGCCCGCAGAACAAGGGCGCCCAGGGCCAGCCACCCGTGGTGCATCCATCTGCATAGGTAGAAGCCTGGGCTCACCTTGACCTATGGATCCACATCTCCCAGGGCGTGAAGCCTGCGTTCCTGGAGCCTCAGAGAAGCCCACAGGTGACCATGACCCCCAAGGGACTCTGACAGCCCAGCTGGGCTCCTGCTCGCCTGCCTGAACGTAGGTGCAACGGCACAACACCTGTGCTCGTCGGTCCGGCTCAGGCTCGGGGCCGCGGGCTGCTGGCGGCCCATCACCCAAGGGCCGTGAGATCTGGGACAAGTCCCTTCTCTCAGGGGTTCTACAGGGACAGGAGAGCAGCACAGCCACGTGTGGACGGGAAGACAAACACGTGGGCCAGGGCAAGCTCTCGCTCGCACGGGCGGTAAAGAGCCAGCCTCTCCACGCCTGGGTGCTTCTTATTCTCAAGGGAAGGAAGGCTATTTTCAACACCTGCTGCAGGTTCAGGCCACCCTACACCACCCGGCCCCGGAAGACATCACAGATGGCGTCTCTCTCATCTGAGCCGCCCCTACACTGCCAGGCAGGTAACTTTGAAAACTGAAGCCCTACGCCCTTCCTAGAATTCTTCATGGAATTTAGACGATGGCCCAGGGGGTACAGGCCTTGGTCTCAGGGCCTCAGAGAAGTACTCTCTCCCGGTTGGCTGGTCCTCGTGGAAAAGAAACGGTGGCATGGGTGATAAAGGTGCCCTTAGTCTCCTCGGCAGGGAAATGCCAAGAACACACGACCTCGAAGTGATTCAACCACACAACAGATGAAAAGTCACCCAGGATGTATTTCTGAGACGCAGTCAGCACTCAGTCAATGTTTGTTTTAAGAAATTAGATTGACAAGTAAGAAAGACGTCATTCAACACCTCCACGGGCCGGGGAGGGGAGGGGGGGAGCCAGAAACCCCTTCGTGATGTGGGGAGGGGGTTCGAGTCCGTACCTTGAAAATGGAGGCATCCACTTCCTGATTATAGTCTTGTTTGCCTGCATGCTTCCACGGGATCCGGAACATGCTCTTCTCGTCACTTTCCCAAATCAGCCCTGGGTACATGTTGCTGTCGATTTGCTCGATCAGCCACTGCCGAAGCCGCCGGCCACCGTTCCGGTCACACATCCTTGGAGAGGGGGGAAAAAACCCACATTCTGTGATGTCACGAATACCGTCTCCTTAATCGCAGCACCCCGTGCACGGATGAGCCAAGAAGTGCTACCAGGAAGATCAGAGGGTTGCCACGCGGGTGCCAGGCTCAGGGAAACCCATGGACCCTGGGGCGCGAGGCCACCTGCCGTGGGGAGGCCATGCCTCCCCTGGGCCTTAACCCCTGCAGGAAAACTGGAAGGTCCCCGGGAAATCTGCAGCTTCCCAGCAGCCAGCCGGCACCCCTCCTAGGGTTCCGCCTGGCACTCCAGCTTGTGCCCCTCGCTCTGTTTTGGGCAAACACAGCCACATCGAAGGGCACCTTTCCACTTACAGCACGAGCCGGGGAGTAATCACTTTTACATCATCAGGTCCCTTTAATGAGAAGCTCATCACTCCGAGAACAAACTCCATTACTTGATGGCCAGTCTGACCAGCGTTCGTGAGTAAACACGATGCCTGTGTGTGCCAGGAAGGAAGAGACCCTCAAGGCTACCCACTCTAGATGGTTCCTTCACATCTGGGCTGATGATAAGAGCAAGGGTTTGGGAACTAGACGGAGCTGGGGCCCCACTTGAGTCCCGCCGTCTCCCACCTGGGTGACCTTGAACCATCATTTAACCTTGGGTGCCAGCTACCCTGGCTGAGGCCCCAGGATAGCTCTCAACGCTTGGCGTCATTGCGGCGAGGGCTCGGAGGGCGCGTATAAAGCACCGGAGGCCGTGCCTGGACCTTAGAAGGTTCTCTCTAAAAAACAGATGTTATTTCTTCCAACTTTCTTCTTCGGGAAGTCTTACCACCAGTTGAGCATGGACATCAACTGTGGCCACAGGACAGACAAGTTAGCTGGGCTAGACAGTTCCAGAAGGCGCCAGGATGGGGGGGTTCTCACCAGGGTGCCCAAAGACACCCTTCGAAGAACTTTTTGCCAGAGCAGGCAGCTTTCCCAGCAGCCCAGAGAAAAAGAGAGAACAACCATGCCACATCGACTCACAGCCCACGGTTATAAGAACAGGGGCGGAAATCCCCTAGGCAGTTGGACAGAGGCCCACCAAAAAAAAAAAAAAAAAAGCATTTCTGTTCTTCTGATTAAAATGTGACCTTTTTGGGCAAACTGGTTTGAAACAATCAATAAGACACAATGTCCTCAAGACTGTGGTCACATCCAGAGCCATGCTGGTCCATAAAGTACATGACTTGGCACCCAGCCACCCAGCAGGTGGCTGTAGGATCAGAAAGGGGGTCCCGGTCCCACCCAGAGGGAAGGGGAGTCCCAAGTGCCAACTGTCACTTTTCCATGCCCACTTGTGGGTCTCACAAGGTGAAGCAGGTCGTATAGGAATTGGACTTGGGACTTGGACACCGCAGACCCAGCAAAGGCTTTTCTCCAACTGGAGAAAGGCGCGTGGGAAAAGCACCCGAACGCTCCCGAGCTCTCCGCATCTGCAAAATGAGTGCATCAGCGTTCCAGGATTCCGAAACAGCCTCTGTGTTTATAAATAAGAAGGTGCAGGTTTAGGACGGACACCTAATAAGAGAAAGGGAGGGACACCACAAGCAGCCCTCCCAACCCCCCCCCACCCCCACCCAATCCCGCCCCAGGAAAGTAACCCAGCAGAGTCCTGACTCCCACAGATCCCTCCTGGAGAAAAGACACTGAATGAGCTGTGTGCAGGACAGGGGTGAGGGGCCAGAACACAACAGAAGGCGTGGTGTCTGCGAATCTATCGACTCAATGAAATGTGCCCACTCAGTGTATCTCCTGCGTCCTCATAGGCTTATAAACCCGAGTTCGCGCTCCAAGAGCCGCCTGAAATGAAAAGCAAGATTTTGTTTCTCTGGACGCTTTTCTAGAACGTGGATCCACACCTTCTTATCAAGATTCCTAATGGATTCACAGCCCCCCAAAATGTTAAGAGCAACTGCCTTGCTGATTTACAAGAACGGGAAAAGAGGAAAGAAGAGAGAGAGGCACTGGGAGGAAAAGTTCAGCCTATTTGCGCACAGGGGGAACACTGAGACCCCGAGAGGCACCCTGACCCCCCCCACCACCGGCCCCGGCCACGCCGGCAGCATCTTACTTCACTCACTCTGTGGAGAAAAACCATGGTTAAGTCACGAGATCTAAGCACGCGGACAGCCCTACCTGAATATTCAACCAAGATCACCTCTGAGACTCTAAACGGCAGTAAAAACCTAAGACTCCAGCTGGATGACGACCCACAATGATTTATTGAACGCTAACAAATTAATTCCACCCAATGCCAAGCCAGAAAAAAATGTATAAGTCCAGTCACATGTTTATAACTTCCTCTTCCTTGACTTTAGCTTATAATTCTCCTTATGGGCCAGGTCCTATCTGGAGCTAATCTGCATCCCAATAAATGGGCCCCAGGGATCAGGCTTCCCAGGCAGGCGATGATCCACCCACTTTCCCAGGAAGTGCCCACAAGGCGGCCGATGACTCCCCTCTGGCGCATCTCAGGGCCCCTGCGCATTGGCCTGGTGGCCGAAGATCCCCATCTCCCCCAACCCCCGACCAAAAGCATTAAAGGCAGCTTCTCGCTTTGGCCTCAATCTTTCTGAAATGATGGAACCCAATCCCGTCCATGGAGGATCCTGACACAATCCCAAAGGGCAGGCTCAGAGCCTTCATTCAAGGACCAGCTCCTAATGTAGGGTTAAAAAAAAAAAAAAAAAAAGTTTTATATCTCCCTGTATGCTGAAGGGACCGGGGTTTGTTTTTTTTAATGTCTATTTTTTGAGAGAGACCGAGACAGAGACAGAGCACAAGCAGGGGAGAGGCAGACACAGAACCCAAAGCAGGCTCCAGGCTCCGAGCTGTCAGCACAGAGACGGTCGCGGGGCTCGAACTCTTGAACGGCGAGATCATGACCTGAGCCCCCCAGGCGTCCCCAGGGATAGTTTTAAATTCTGGAAAATTCAGTCTCTAGTTTCCATCCACAGCGGCCTCCACAACCCTGGGAAGCGGTCTCCCCGTGGCCCTGGCGCCCCTTTTACACCGAAATGCTCCTGTTAGCTGTGAGCCCTGCGCAGACTTCCCTGCCAGGGACCACGGGGCTGGCACGGGCGCCACTCGCAAACCCCGACTGTCACCAGGCAGAAGCACCCCGGGGCGCGCCCTGCAACGTCCAGGGCGCACAGACTGGCTGGCTTCGGGCGGTTTCTGGGTCCTGACCCTGCAGGCGATCCCTCGGCGGCCGGACTCGGCCGAGTTGGAGGAGAAGCTCTTGCAGTAAAGGGGTCACTACGTCCTCTGGTCAGAGAGGCCATTCTCGAGGTTTCCGCGCAAACCAGATTTTAAGAAAAGCGGGGTATTCGGGGCAAACTTCAGCTCCTTAGGGAGCGGCCGCCCCGCGCTCCACGCCTGGGCTTTGGGGTCGGGTCGCGAGGACCAGCAGAGGCAGGGAGGGGGCACAGCCGGGCGCCCGCCGCCGCCGGGGGCCCCGCGCCCGCCCGCCCCGGGGCCCCGCGCCCGCCTACCTGCCGCCGCCGCGCCGGCCCTCCGCCCGCGTTCCCACGCCGCCGCCGCCGCCCGGGGATGCGGCCCGGGCCGGGCGCCCGCGGGGGTCTATGACGGGGCGGCCCCGGCGGCCGGGCCTCGGGGGCGGGCCCGTGGGCGGGGCCCGTCCGGCCCGCCTTCTTCGAAGTGCTCGGCTTTCCGAGAAATCACTGAGCAGAGGCGGCCGCTGACGGGCCCGGGCGCCCTTCCGGGGTCCGCGCCGGGGGTCCCGGGGGCGGCGTGGGACGGGGGTGTCCGCAGGAATTCCCGAGGGGACTCGGGGCGTCCACGCGGCCAGGCCAAGGGCAGGGCGGGGGGCGGGTGTCAGAGGGCGGAAGTCAAGGCGCTGCCGGGCTCCCGGGCTCCCGGGCCGATGCCGGGGTCAGACGCGGAGGTGAGGGCGCCGCGGGCCCGGGCGGGGGTCAGGACACGGCGGGGCTGGGGCGGGCGCCGATCCCAGAGTCCCGGCCCTGGGACTTACGATGGGGGGCAGACCGCAGAGGCCAGTGGAAGTTCCGGCTGGGACGGGGGCGGGGTGGGGGACCCCAGAGGTGAGTGCCGCAGGCGGAGTGTGGGTCCCTGCGGAGAGCCCCCCACCCAGTGCCCACCCAGGCCTGGTCGGGCTATCGTCTCTGAGTGTGGCCGAAGTTCCTGGAGCGGGTGGGAGGCATCCGCCCCCGGAGGAAGCCCCGAATAACACAGACAATGGCTAACCTTACACCTGACATGTGGTTCCTTATAGATCTGGGCTTAGATGACCAGTGCTTGCAACTAACCGGGACTGTAAAAAAAAAAAAAAAAAGTGCCCAGATAAAAAGGTGTCTGAAACTACTGCCCTCTGAAGGTCAGAGAGAAAAACAGGATTCTCTAGCTTACTCGTGCTAGAATGTCCAATTAGGGACATTTTCATCAGAAATTCTTTTCCCCAGAAAATGTCATTTGTGTTGAGGTGGGCTCCTCTGTGGGTCTGCGTCCAATTTCCAGCCCCTCGTGGATGTAAGCTGGCATTTACTATATATGGGAATGCAGTGGAGGGCAACACAGGTGACGGAAATGACAAAGAAAACCCTTGAAGACACAGGGAAAAAGACACGTTTCCCCACACTCAGGTCTGGGGCAGCCTCATACAGAGAAGGAGAATCGTCATCGATTTTTATGGCCTCGTCGGCCAGTCATAACCCAAGCAGCGATGTTTTCTGAGCCATTTATTCGCTGGGCTTTTCAAGAACCTCTGAAAATGTTTGAGCCTGAAAAAGAAATTCTCTTGGCCCCCAAATGCAAAAAGTACACTGCCAGGTTGAAATTACTAAGTGCTGGAAGAAAAGCCCTCAAAACGTAACGAGCCGACATCAAATTGTAACTTATTTACTGATAAACATTTCATTGTCTTTGAAAACCACACATAAGTTAGAAATCACTTGGTAAGAATTTCCTAATGCCATGATTGCCAGGAAGTCTTAGCAATCATAAATTAAATGAGTTCCCTGTCGCCAAAGAATTTCAAGTGAAAGCTGTTTTTTTCAAAGCTCCAATTCTTGAAGAGTGTTTGGATAACGTGGGAGTATTTGGATATGTTTGCTGGGGTGCGGGACAGGCTTCTGGGGCTCAGGAATTCTTTAAAGGGGCTGCACGCATGTTTAGATGCCTCCCTTTTCACAAATGAGCCCCTTAAACCTACCCAGATTTACGTACCCATCAGTGCCGCCCACCTCGCAGAGATGTGTGCTCAGAGTCCACTCAGCACTCCAGGGAGGTACAGCCAGGAGCACACAAATATAGAGAAGTCAGCCCTGGGACCGTCCCAGCATGCGTTACTGGCAGTATGTGTCACCAAATACATTACGGAGCTGTTGACAACACCCCAGCTTGTGTGAGAACTGCTCCTGAAAACCCGTATTTTCACTGTGGTGAACCCTCACCGCCTGGGAACCACTTCTAGCCTTATCTGTTTAGTTCTGTTCTTACCTATTGAGCACTTAATGGAGCCACGGCTGTGGGCTAGATACGGTGGCGCAGACGGAAGACCCGAAAAACAAAAGAGTCTCTGACCATTCCTTCCTCTGCACTGACCTGCTGGCACCCCACAGTCCAGGTGGATTTGACCCTGGCCTCTGCCGCGGCCGGCGCCTCCATCTTCCGTGTCTCTGTGTGTCCCACCCGCTGCTCCCCCGCTGAAGTCTCTCCCTCCGGGATGGATTCCCCGTGGCTTCACAGCACGTCCAGATGTTCATCCTGGCATCCAGAAACCATACCCTTCTGGGGCGCCTGGGGGGGCTCAGTCAGTTAAGCATCCGACTTCTGCTCAGGTCACGATCTCACGGTTTGTGAGGTCGAGCCCGGCGTGAGGCTCACTGCTGCCTGCCCAGAACCTGCTTTGGATCTTCTATTCCCCCCTTCCCTGCCCCCCAACTCTCATCTGCTCTCTCCCTCAAAAATAAATCAACATTTAAATAAATAATCAAATAAATAAAGAAATACTACACCCATACCCTCCCAAGCCCTCCTCTTCCGTCATCTAACAGAAGCCCTCTCCCTGCCGCCGCCACCGCGGTAAGAACAGCTCCGTGTGCCGTCGGGCCCCGGTTCAGATCCAAGCTCCTGGCTCGCTGAACGTGTGACCTTGAGCAACTGACTCAACCCTCCCTAAGCTTTGGTTTCCTCGTCTGTCTAATGGCGTTCGCGACACCGTTACGTTAAATCATTTGAAATTGCCGATACTCTGTCGCCTTCTGCTCGACAGAAAGGGCAGTTTCTCATGGTTCAGCTGAGTCACACCTGCCGCTCTGGATTATCGAGGGTTGGTGGGACCGTGGGGGGCACCGGGGAGGTTGGGGGCTCGGTAAGGGAAGTGGTGAAGAGATTTCTCAGGGGGGAGACTTTCATTTTCCAGTCCCCACCTTCGCACTTTCCAAGCCAGGGTTAGCGAGGAGGGTCCGAGAGAACTCAGAAATGTGTTCCCTGAGAGGACAGGTGTCCACTCCTCCCTGAGAAAGTGGGGGGGCTCTGACCCCTGTTCTGGAAACTTAAAGGGCAAGGGAGACCTACTGGTCATGGCACCGAGCGCTTCTGATGAGCGGGTCACAGCCCGCAGCAAATCTCCATTCATTTCTGTGTCTGCTTTAACACCACCAATAACTAAAGGCTTAAAACAGCACAAACTTATTATCTTGCAGTTCTGGGGGTCAGAAACCCAGCCCGGGTCTCAGGAGGACTAAGATCGAAGTGTCCACGGAGCTGCCTTCCTGCGTCCTTCTGACTTCTTCCAGCCACGTTCTTGGCTGGGGGCCCTTTCCTCTGTCACGAAAGCCACAACGGCCAGTTTCCACGCCCCATCACTTTGCCCCTTTCTTCTGCCTCCCTCGTCCCCCAGAATGCATCGGCTGAAGTCCTCGCCCCCCGGTGATTAGGTGGTGGGACAACCTCTCCTATTAGGGCGACCCCTCAGTCACCTTCGGGAGGTGATCGGGCCGTGGTGGTGGAGCTCCCGTGAAGGGGGTGGTGCCCTTGTAAAAGGGACTCCGGGGATTCCCTCCCTCCTCACGGTGGGAGAACACGGAGGAGGCAGCTGTCTAGGAAGCGGGCCCTCACCGGACACCGAGTCTGCCAGCACCTTGATGGTGGAGGTCCCGGCCTCCAGAACCTCGAGGAGAGATCTGTAC